TATATATATATATATATGAACACGCGAAGCAGAGAAACTGTTTCTTTGGTCAGTCTCGCAGAGTCCCTGCTGCTGTTGGCAGCTTGCTAGCGCTCCTGCTGGTTTAACATTTAGCCTGTTGACATGCAGGCATCATACTAGAATTTAAAGCCACATCTAGTCTGTTCCATTGCACACCTGCTCAGTCATGTACTCTCATGTACTTTTCTATGGGGACATAATTGTACAGTGTTTTCTTTTCTTTTTAACACTTTAAAGCAGAATTTATTTCAATAAACTTGTTTCTTAAATGTTTAAGTGGCGCTTTCTGTGCATTCACTGGGTTCTTGAATTGGGAATATTGGGAATGCTGCAAGGAGAGGTACAGTATTGTATTTTCATTTTCATTTCTAATATATGGAGAGAAAATGTATTTGGCCCAAGATGTTCTGAGTATGGTTTCTGCATGTTCTCAACACCTTTCATTAATAGTGTCAAGACAAACAATTAGGTTTTGCAGAAAACACAGATTTTAGAGCTGGATGACAGAATGGTAACATATCTTTTCCCTTTTTAGATATTTTTTTAAATTCTTTATCTGACCATTTTCTCAATTATTTGGTTTTATGCTCATAATACTGATGTTTTAACAACTACGTTCAGACCTCACAGTTACAGGGCGCACAAGGTGATGTAAAAAAGTCCTCAAATACATTATCTACTAAATTATAGGGTAAGAGAAGGAAATCCATCAGATTACATCTGAGGATAATTAGCAAGCTTTTTCCTTGACATTTTAAAGTTTTTGCTCGGTTAAAGCTGAATAACATAAGATAAAACTGACTGTTAGTTAGAAAAGTGGCTAATTCTGTCAATCTACTACTTTTATTAAATAGATCAGAGATAGATGGATTATCATGTTTTTTTTTTTTTTCCACTACATTAATGATGTATCCAGATGACTGTTTTAGAGCCATATATCGGTTTATGCAGCTCTGGGCTCATAGGGCAGAATCATCATGGTGTTAGCCCTAGCATCACATCTAGGAAACAGCACAATATAATAATAGCTGTCAAATTGTGCCAAGTATAATCATCGGGTCATAATGCAGTACTTTCCCAAGTAAATATTTAGTGATAAAGACATATTACAACATTGTTATCTTCAGCTACACTTGTTAGCATGCTAACATGCAAACCAAAGGCTAACTGTGCTACTGTTAGCACTCTATCAGACGTTCTATAACAATGACGATTTGTGTAGTACTCAGAAATAAGTGTAGATTAAACGTAATACTAAGACATTAAAAGGAAGCCAAAAACAAACTGAAAACATACATTGCATGCTTAAATTCTTTACAGATGGTTGACAAGCAAATAATCATTTTTGTGTTTGGTGGAAATGAGCATTTCTATAAGCAAACACTCAACTAAGAACCACTCGCTGAAAATAGCATTCTTGTTAGCATTTCCGATGGAGGTCTATTACATGAGCTTTACAGTTTGAACAGTGCTTGAAATTTACTTTTGCCCTTTGTTCCAAATATGTTTTCTCTCCATAACAGCTGACTGGAACACATCAGCTATTCTCTCAGTCACTTTAAATTTACAGCTGCCTACCTGGTGGCGTGTTGCCTACATGCACACAAAACACACCCAACACTCTTTCAGACTTTGAACCTACAGCAAACAGCACAGAAAGAACTGAGATCAAAACAACTCTGAGCAGGTGCTGAACCCGCTGGGGTCAAAGGTCAAATATCAATCAAGAACAGCTATTAGCAAAGAGGAGCGAAGAGGCCAAAAGTTAACAGTTCTCCCCTCCCTGTGTCTGGTCTCTACATTAACAGTCCGGCGGCATCCTTCCTGCTTTTACGCTGACCAGCTCAGCCGTTTCTATGGCAACACAACGACCTCTGCCTGTGTGTGTGTGTGCTGACTCATAGTACTGACCAACCTCCCTCTCCGTCCATCCAACCCAACACAATCCTTCCTTCTTTGGAAAGCTCTGCCCTTTGAATGAGGAGATGTGTGTTTGTATAAGCTCTGAGCTAAATGACTTCTGGATTACATATTACCATCTGTACAGCTGAAGCGTTCCAGTTTTAGTTTGATACTAAAATTGTGTTGAATACATATATTTATCAAATACCAGATGATTAAGCTACTTTTTATTTTATTATCCAGAATCAATAGTAACAGTGCTGAATAGATATGCCCAGAATGAATTCAGGACAAAAAAAAAATTCAAGCCAGGACATATTTGAAACATTGGATAAGAAACTATAAACATCTTCATAGAGGTGTGCAAATGTCTGCTGTCAGGTCTCGCTCTGTGTGTGTTGTTGTTGTAGTGCTGTTGCGTATCTCTGTGCCAGCAGCCCAAGTGTCATATCATGGCGCCTATCAGCTGTTTAAAGGAGAACAAAAACTGTTTTCACAACCAGCACTTCGTTCATATCTGCACTTTCACTCTGTTGTTTGAGTTTGATTCATGATCTGAGCGTTATGCTCTACAGGCTTACAAGCTGTGCAGAAAGCTCCTATGGCACATTTAGTGTGTCTTAAATCCAAAGACTACTTCGTGCTTCATTTGAAGTGCTTGTGGGAACATTCTGCAGCTTTTTTTTTAATAGTCTCAAATAGGCAAAGCAACAATTCCACTCATTAAAAGCTGCAGCTGTTTTTGGAGGGTCGGCTTTTGTGAGAAAAGACGCAGGAGTCAAGACATCGGAAGAGAACCATGTTGCTCTTGGTTTCAAGTGTCCAAACCTGGCTTGTTGCGAGAGAGGCAAGACACAACAGGCTAATTGTTCGGAGAACCTCTCCAGGAGAGTTGAGTGGAGTTTCGAGATACGCAGAGAGAGCTTCCCAAAATTGCCGGTTGGAACAGGGTGGTGGTAGGTGTTGTGCAGAAAGTTGTAATTGTCCAGAAAAATATGAGCAAGTACTAGACTATCCTCATTAAAGCATTGTTTGTGCATCTTAAATCAGGTACTACCGACGATCAGTCTGCTGGAGTGGCTCCAAATCTTGGTTTATCTGGGTATCAGTCTTGACACTGATACCCAGACCTTGACAACCAGCTCTTCTTGGTTGGAGCTCTAGGTCTTCCAAGAAACACATTTCTATAAGGAACTCCTTCTAAGCATGTCGTCATGCCTGAAAACAACTCAGCTAGCAGGCATCCAGGAGGCCGATGCCCTTCTGTGGGCCCGCTGTAGTCATTAGGAACATGCCATGAAAATAATACTGTTGTTTCAGATTTTTGTCTCATATTTTCT